TATAATTTATTATTATTAAAATGTAGTAATTTAATTAATTTTTTTGACTTAAGCAGGGTGGCAATTCGATTTATGGAATAATTAAGAATCCAAAAGATGCAAAGTCTTTGAAAATTATGATAAATTAGATTAGATTTCTAAAGCAACTAACTTATATTATATAGTTTATGGTCTTGATAGAATTCACAAAGCCAAATTAGTGCGTAAGGATTTTATTTTGGAAACATGGCAAATATAATTCTTTCACTACTGATTTTGGCTTATTTAAGTCATTATCACGGTGGCTCAAGTTTTATAGCGCTTTTTAGTGTAATAAGTTTCGAATATGAACGTGATTTTAACTAAAATTATTGGGTATTTGCGCCAGGCAAATTTGCCCGCAAATAGCTTACAATGTAAAGGACAAAAAAATTATATTCCTATTTTGCTTATTATAATGTTTGTCATTTTTTTAACCTTTCAGAAATGTATTACTTTTTACTAAAAATTAATTTATAAAGCGTAAATATTTACTTAATGAAAATTTACCCGAATTTATTAAAATTACTTTCTAAATTTATGTTAATAACATTAGGCCTGACGGAATTCTACGCATCTATTTTCTAAACTTTTCTAAAATCTTCTAATTTTTAATTTTGCAAAATTTGAATAAAAAGAACAAAGAACAATTTTACTTAGTCAGATAAACACTGATACGTACGTACGTACGTATGACTATTTGCACATTATCTAATAACTTTCATTTCGATTATCTAATAACTTTCATTTCGCATTAGAATTATTTAAAATTACGTATTAAAATGTGACTGTTTAGTTACATTCATCTGCTACTTGTTTGGTGTGACAACACGCCAGTTAATTATTGTTAAGAATTTTACTAATAAATATGAATTTATATTATTTATATGTCACAGTATCCTATGTAAACAACGATTAATCGAGCCGATTTTTAAAATGCATACATTGCACGATACTACAAATCTAAATAATCATGAGACATGCACATATGTAAGTGCACGTAACACTGTACTGCGTATTTAAAAATCAAAAATATATGTGGTCATATAATAAAATTTATTAATAAACATTTTTTAGATAGCGATCGATAAGTAAAATTTTATAAATAATTACTACAAAATTTTAAATAGATATCGGTTCGATAGTTTTGGGTAAAATTTCACAAAGACCAGTATTACGTCCTTGCTATAATGCCATTTCTTTAAAAAAAGAACCAAAATGAAGTGTATTAAAATCTTTCGTTTTTAAATAAAGGATGGTTTTATAACTTTATGTGTAAAGACGTAACACCTGGCCCTTTGTGAAATTTTATTCAAATCTATCGAACCGTTAGAATTTAAGATTTTGTAATAATTATTATAAAAATTCATTATTAAATTTATTATACGTGCACCCAATGAGATGCACATATGTAAGCGCACGTAACACCGCAACAGTTTGAGCGGTTAATCAATGTCGTGCAGCATTATTATTTGTTTATAAATAAACTATTGCGAAGAAATAATATTATTTTACGACATATATTTTCATGTCGGGAGAGATTGTGCAGATAATAATACTGTAAAAATGATATCTGGATATTAGGTACATATCTATCAAATAAATTCCTAACGTTAATCGGTAATAGGTAACACTGTATATTTTTCCGTAATTAGGATAGTTTAAGTCCAAATTAAGAAGTTGACATCTGAATTAAAGCTTAGTGGTGCACGCATAAATTCCTATATGTTCTAAATTGCCATAAATAACTAGACTTTTAAAAACAATACTTGTAATCATAATATGGTTACTCGGACGTAATTCGGATGAAATATTTGAGAACAATTAAAAAGCATACGAAAAGTATCATACAAAAAATTGGTTCTGACAACATAAATTTTGACAATTTATGGCATTAAATATATAGGAATGAAAGACACGACATTTGTTAGTGTTCCTGAAAATATTCTTTCAACATGGCTACTTGCGGTGGCCTTTGCATTAAATTTAGATTCATTCAGCCGAGCTTTGGTAGAGAAAAGCATCAGCAAAGGATATTGGCTTCTTATTCCTATAAACATTTCAATACTTATTAACGAAATGCTTATGCCTATCATGATGACCTCAAGTTCATTTTGTACGAGTAGCGCGGTATCAGGGCCAAGCTGCTCATATGTAGTAAGCTTTTTAAAGTGCCCATCCACCACGAATGTATTGTTATACCTTTGGATATTTCCAATTATACAATTATTTTATTTACTATCCAAGCCATTCTTGTTGCATCTTGCATATGTACGTTGCGCAGCAGTCTTTCGGCCATTTAGAAGCACTGTATTTGTATGGTTTCACCGGTTCATAATAACATTACGCGTCGTAGAATTGGTAGTAGTATTCATAATTAGCATTGTTGACAGCATTCAATTTTCTGGAACATATTGTTCACCATTATGTTCAGGCATACTCTTAGTTTATAGGATACGAGAATCTGTAGTGATCGTATTTCGACTTTATTATATAATTGCAGAAACATTATTTTATAAAAAGTTATTTTATGAGATACGAAAGATTCGTAACGATACATCTACATTCCGAACACTTTACCACCAGACAGCATTATTCACCATCGATATAATACAACTAGCAGCAATATGTATTTTCCGAACTGCAAGACTTATAGGAGCCGATTTACCAACTTATACTTATGCTGAGCTCTTTAGTACAGCATTTACAGTTTTTGTGATGACCAAATTTGTGGATAGGATTCCTAGTTTACTTGATGATGGTTAAGATTATAAATGCAAAAAATTTTTGTCATTTATATAGAGATTCCTATAAATAATATTCACATATTTTTTAAACCTTTTATACTGTACATTTTAATATAGAAAATTTCGATTCTTTTAAATCAAAATTTTCAAGTTCTTATGTTGACTCCATTGTAAAAAAATTTTATATTTATTACCTTAAATGTATATGTTAGTATGTTGAAATTGATTAATTTTAGCTGATTTTGAATCTTGAAATAGCTTAAAAATAAAATATATTTTGCAAAATTTTGCAAGGTCCTAAGATATATCAACGGGTATAGTGTTGTCCTGCTTTAACATATTATATCTCTAAATACCTAAAGTGATAGATTCATAAACTCTATAAACTTGGTGAATTTCTAATATGATATAAAAAAACACGAGCAAATTTTAATTTTTTTTCATACAGTTTTTTCAATTTATTAATAAATAGATAATTTACAGTCTTGACAAACAACTTGTGATTCTGATATGTATATTATTGGTTTTGAGAAGAACAGTTTCGGTTGTATTCATGGAAAATAACAAATTGTTGAAAAGGATAAATTTAATATGCTATGCTTATATATATAATGTTAAAAATATTGATCATAATTCTATAAATAAATATATATATATATATGATTTTTACATTGGTTTTTTACATATTTCAAACACCTCATATTCATCTACGGTAAAATAACCTTCCGAAGTTCTAATTGGACTACTATAATGCTTTTTTTTACAAGACCATTTATTCCTTATGATTACATTACAAACCAAAAAAAGATCATTACTACCGCCAAAAGATGGACCAAAAGTACTATCATAATAAATTGCTTTATCTCTATTCTTAACTCGACTAAGAATAGAATTTTGAGGTTTTAATGAAAAAATAAAACTATCAGCTGTTCTTACATATTTACTGTTAGCCTTTTTCCATTGAAGTGGGTTATATCCTCCAAGAATTTCATCAGTTCCATTAACTTTCAATATCACGACGGTTTGAAATTTACCATCACATAAATCATGAAATACTTCAACAGAGAATCCATCTTGACTACCCTTGAGAAGTAATTTAAATTCATATGGAATGTTGTCTATTTCATAAGGAGAAGATCTATAATTAATCCAAGATGCTATTAATGCAGCATACTCTTTGCTAATTAATGTTTTACATTGGAAATTATCGACAATTAATTTGTCAGTTGACATTTCATTTACGAAAAACTCATCAGGATGTAGTGTTGATTCATCCGTTGATCTTGTATCTGAATTTGTATTGATGCTATTCTTATCAATCGGTGATTCTTTTTCACTTTTATCTGAAGTGGTTCTTGATCTAATTAAATTATTACCCGAATTCATTCTTTGATAATTAATGTCCGAACTAACTAAATTATTACCCGAATTCATTCTTTGATAATTAATGTCCGAACTAACTAAATTATTACTCGAATTCATTCTTTGATAATTAATGTCCGAACTAACTAAATCATCATCATAAGGTAAACTATAATCTGACATTAAAGAAGGTTTATGAATTAATTGACTATCCGAATTTGATTTTGCATAATGAAATCTATCATTTGTTTGATTCGAAAATTGACGATTTAAATTAACTTTATCGATATCGATATTTAAATTAACTCTATCTATATAAACCAATCTATCATTTTGATCACTTTGATGCAAAGAAACTTTATGAATTAAGTTGTCATCAGAACTTGCATTCATATGAAGTTTTTCAATATGTAAAGCTAATTCATATTGCTTTCTTAAACTTTCATAGACAGGTTTTATGTCAGGTCGTTTATTTGGATAATGATCCCAACAATGTTTATAAAGTTTGATATATTCTATTGGAGTATTTTGTATTGGAATTTCTCTTTCACCATCAGATACAAAAAATAAGATTTCTGATGAACTATAAGATTCAAACGGTGGCCTGCCACTAGAAATTTCCCAAAGAATAACTCCAAAGCTATAAATATCGGATTTTTTGTCCAAAATATATTTCGAATTGTTTCTTAAACATTGTGGTTCGATATATGCTGGAGTTCCATGAGTTATTCCATGAATTATTCCATAAGTTATTGAACCTTTAGTTTCACCTATCCGTTTCGTTAATTCCAGATCTGCAATCAACATTTTCCCTTGGTGAACTAATATATTCTTGGAATGCTTATAATAAATATATATATAAATACATATTATCTAAAGATATGGTTTTTGAACATTATAATATAATGAAATACGGTACTTACAAGATCTTTATGAATAATTCCATGTTCATGCAATGTCAAAAGCCCCTGGGCTATTTCCGTTGCAATTCGTAATTTTTCAGACCATTTTAAATTTAAATTGTTTGTTCTCAGGTATTCACGTAAATTTCCACCGTCAGCATATTGTAAAATCATGTTGTAGTCACCGAATGGGTCTATAATATTATATTGATGTTATAATTAAATATTATAAATATTTTTAAATATTATGTGAACATTATAATTAAATATCATAACTACATTATAATTTAAACCGTACCTTTAGTTACTCCATAAAACTTTATAATATTCGGAAAACTACAAATTTGTTGCATAAGTCGAAGCTACAAAATTATTAAAAATTTTAGATATTCATTATACAATATAAAATTTTTGATTAAAGATTTGATTAATCTACCTCTTTAACGAGAGTTTTAATTTTTTCTTCATTCATTTCATCCATTTCAGTGAAACCTTTTAAACTTTTATGAACAACCATTAAATTATAATTCTTCCATTCAAATTTGCGCACCTCCCCAGATGCACCTTCACCAAGGATTTGATACCCATAAAACTCTTCATAATTATATTGATTAATAAATTGTTCTGAAATGGCTTTTTCGAGCCATTCAATTGATTTACTTGCCATGAACGTTACAAGTAGAAAAATGAATTGATTTCTAGCTCTTGCGTTTCCTTTATAATAAAAATAGTAGTATAAATAAAACAATATTATTTTAAATTCATAATATTATTTTTTAATTAATAATAATTGTTTTATAAAAAAAAGACGAGTACGGTGTTAAAATGGTTAATTAGTTCTAAGTTATTCCGTATATTCTACGTGTAACATTAAACTTTAAAATTAGTTAGCGCATATGTGACGTTTTTACTATGTTTTGCCATGTTTGCCATGTTTTACCATGTATTATCGTTTTGTCATTTTTTAACATGCTGCTGTCATACCTCCCTAATACTAAATGCAACACATAAGAACCGACTTGCATTTAGAAAAACAATAAGTAAAATTTTATGTTTGTAGAAGATAATAAATGTAGTATTTAATAGTTATATTTAAAAAAGCGTTGTATTTAGAAGGTTGAATTACTACATAGTTCCATGGAATATTCTGGTCACTACGTACGATGAATATATTAAACTCGTACTACATTTATTTTGTATTGGCGTTTTTACAAATACAACTATTTTAA